GATGTTGAAAGCACCAGTCCTAAAGATCATTTCACAGGGAAGTCTTGTTCTTCCTTTCCTTTTTTAATATCACCTGAATTCACTGCTCTATAGAGGCAAGGAATTAATGACAGGTAGGACTTTTTTCTGCTAACACATAGTTGTTTTCAATGAGAAATTACTGACCATTTGTTCATCCCCTCGTTACCATTTGAGGTGGAGACAAAACAGCATCACATTGCCAATACTGCCACTGCCGGGGAGACAACATCAAGCAATGAGTCAGAAGTCTTTGAGGGGACAGGGGTCTCTGAAAAGCAGAATAAGCCTCTAGTTTTCAAGTCCTTCAGTTCCCTTACCTCATAAGAACACTTTCTTTAGTGTTCCCTGGCACTCATAGTAATAACGAAGGAAGAAGTGTGACTAATGAAGAAAATTCACAGACTATTGAATAGGCTTGTGAGCACAGTGAGAAGGAGGATTCCCAGGGCAGGACCTGCATAGGGATTCTGCTGGTTCTCAATTACTGACTGAAGGTCTAGCTGCAGATCTGCAGAGACCTACCTCTGATCATGCAACATGCAGGGGCCTCACCATATGCTGAAGATGTTGCCCAGACAGGATGAAAAAAGAGAGGCTGGTCTTTGAGCTGAAGAGGCCTGGTTCTAAAGATTAGTTGAAGTCCAAACACCTTGTTGGCAAGTATTTATGGAGAAACATTTCCTATTTATTGAATGTTAACACCCTAAGCCATGGCAAACTGAAGGTTTGCCCGAGGTGAGAAAATGTCTTGCAAGATGAGCAGTGTTTAAAACCCTCTAGGGGATGGCATGGTAAGCAAAATTAAGGAAGAAAAGTTAAAAGCATCTAAGAGGGAAAAAAATCGGGGGAAAATAATATGCTCGAAAGTCAGGGTTTCACTCCTGAAAACTAACAAATAAGGGGTGAGGAAAAGAAATAACTAACTAAGAGAACATGGTAAAAACAGGAAATAGTATGAAGAAAATATAGAAAGAGGGGAAAGGCTACTGAAGGTTCCATATTAACTGAAAATTGTTTTCACTAACATAAAAGGCACTCCAGCTTAGCAAACAGAGTTATACAGCATTCTCTTTCTTTATACAGAGGTAGAAGAAAAAAAGGGAAATGACAGCTTGCTATGATTGAATAAAAGGCCTAGTCTGAATGCCTGCAATATAAATATTCATTAAAGGAACACACTCAAAAGGAGAAATGTTGTCCTCCCAAGATGGAGGTGTCAGAGACTGGGGCCAAGAACAAACCTCATCAGTTAGGTTTCTTATGTGGTACTGAGATTCTGTGTACAGGGAACAGCTGAATAAAAGGAAAAACAAGATGGGTCAATAGCTGTGAACAAAATGAGGAGGTTACATTCACACAAGAGAACTATTTATCCATCTTCTAACAATGGCACAGCTACACAGTGCTATCAGTTGTGTTTCATGTATGCTGGAATGCTATGGGCTGACATACACCAACATATACCAACTCAGGCAGTACTGGAGTACTAACATATCTGCAATATTGCTGAAAAAAATAGGTAAGCACTTCTCCAAAACAGATACAGTCAGAAAGCAAGAAATACAGGGAAGAATGGCTAGGAAACTAGAACAGCTGTTGCTGTTGTCCAGAGAGTTTCTGTTGCCACAGTGCTAAGAAAAGCTGTCAGAAGAGAGATCCTTTTATGAAGTTAGAGAAGACTGGGAATAGACAGGGAAAAAATTACTTACTGGCAATTTTGTATGTTGGATCAAGACAGAATGATGTGTTTTCATGCTCCAGGGAGAAAGGCAAGGACTATCACTCAAAGCAGAAATAAATATTTCATCCTTTCATCTCTACTTCTTTTAAAGGTCAAAAAATTTCTCAAACTGAACAATTAAAAGCAACACATCAAATAAACTATGAAAGGATTGAGAATTTGTATGGAGACACATAGCAGCTATTGCTGACATACTGATGTAAAGCTCTTTTCATTTTACATTAAAACACAGGAAAATAGAATTCCTGTCATTTAATAGGTATTGTTTCTGCAAGCATGTCCTACTTACACATAGTATCCAAGATCATAGGAACACAGTCCTGTTCAGGTTGAAAAGACCTCCAGAAGTCATCTAGTCCAACACCCTGCTCAAAGCAGATCCAGTTAGATCCAGTTGCTTACTAATCCAGTCAAGTTATTAGTACCTCCAAGAAGGGAGATCTAATGACATACATGACAAAACTCTACGCTTAGCTTTTCCAAATAATGGTTTTCGGTATCATTTAAAGTACCGGAGGCTCTAATTCTGTCACAGCGCTCTTTGTCCCTATCATATCAGAAGAAAGGTTAAGAATGGTTGGTCTTGAGAGTCTTAATGGCAGGAGATTAATCATCTCTTTGAGGGCTGGTAACTGAAAAATCTTAGAGGCAGAAACGACTAAGTGCTAATCAGGTCAAAGACCACTCATTTAAATTTGCATAACTTCACCATCAAAAGCAAAAGCAGCTTTAGTTTAAAGGAAATGAAACCCAACCAGAACACTCAGTTTCCGTTCTCAGAGCGAAGCCTCGTTTCATCTACAACTTAAAGGCTGATTCTCAAACATACACATTATCCTTACAAAACAAAAAGGCAAGGCCTGCAGAGAAGGTGGTTGCCAGGGGACTGCTGCAAAACCATGCCTGCTGGCTATGACTCACAGGCAACTACTAAAATTTATCTGCGTGTCAGCAGGCCTCGCTGTACACCAGTAACAGTGACACACCAAGTGAAGACCGGTTATTTGGGTTTAAGCACATGAGAGACAAAATTCCTATACCAGAACTCCCAAATCTTTTTGAATTTGTATTGCTACTAGCACAAACACGCAGAAAAGCTAAAAGAATTCTGGAACAAAATACTTTCACAGGTACTCATACCGTTGTAACACCATCTCCATTTTTATAGAGGAATTCTTAATGTTGCTGAGAAATAAGGATTATTTTGCAAAACGTGTTTTATTTAATTGTAGAAAAAAATGGTTTTTTGTTGAAAACACACACAGTATAAACCAAAAACTTACTTCAGTTGGTATAAACACTACCCATAGAAAACCTACCAACACCATGACGCTATTTAGAGGGAAGAACAAAAGATTGAAGTAACAGGTCCTGCTCATCAGTGTTTAATTTACTTATAAAAAGTTCTGAATGATCTATTCTGGGCTTGCTGTTGCAGAGTAAGCCAGTGCATTTTCCCTCCTGTTTTACCTTCCTTGTCATTTCCAACATTGCATGCCTTTTTGACCACTAGTGAGTCACAAGTTCATGACAGAAACTCCTCTCAAGTGAAAACAGCTAATTTAGGGCTCATCCCTATGTATGTACACTTCACGTAGAACCACGTTCCTTTTACAGAAAATGAGTTTACATAATTACGGTTACATTCCCTTGAAATTATTTCTCTGTGCTATACATTAGGCAAGCCATATAACAAATGTGGGAGCATTCAATGGATATTCTTCAATACTTTTTTCCTCCCTTAATTGAGTTCTTTCTGTTCTGGTATTGCTTCATCCTGACCTCCTCCTGAGCACCTGTACACACAATGTCAGGCATAAGCTCTGTATACCAAGAAAACACAGCAAAGGCAGCCGAATCTCAATAGGTAAGTACTGAGACCCTAATGTTGAGTTAGAAGTTGGCTTTTTCTTCAAAATTGAAAAACCAAGTGATTTGTGTTGTTGTTTTTTTTTTCAAGGTCAAATGAAACTTCCAAATGAAAATATCAAATGTAAATTTGGTATGCCACCTACAAAAGGCAATTCCCCTAGATGGAGTATATAATCAAATAAGAATTTTTAAAACAAGCAAACTAAAATATATGAATTCGCTATTAATAAGAGTGACTTGGAAGGGGAGGCTAGTACACAAACGGCTAGTCTGAGAAGGGCTTTTGGCGGAATGAAGCAAGACCACAGATGGTGATCATATACTGCATCCTAATCTGATATGCTCTTGGTTCACTGAAAAGAATTTACATAGTTATTTTCCTTGCTGTTGCAGCAGCTATACTAATAATGTTCATATTTATGTGCTGTAAGCATTCCTGTCTTGATTGCATAATTCAGTGTCCTCAATTAGAGTCTTCAACCTAATAGCACCCTAACACCTTTGAAAGGCTGCCAAAACAGTCACCATACAGTATACCATCAAACCAATAACTAAATCAATCTAATTAACAAATTAGGCTACATCACCTATGACTGTAAGGTACTGATGGAGCTGAAAGGTTTTTCACATTGTAGATGTATATACATGCACATTTTAATATTTAATGTGTTGGTAGTCTTACTAATGTCCTAGTGGTTAAGAAGTGCCTGTAGGATTGGAAATTCAAAATGCTATCATGCTGGTGCATCTGACAACTTGTTAAAGTTGCCGTAACGCAAAGAAAAAACAACGCAGAAACCAGCCTTTCCAGAAAAACTCCTTCAGAATTCTAGAGCCTGAGAAGTATTCACTCCTCTCAAATGCACCGAGGGAAAAATTGTTGACAGAAGGGAGAAGAAGGAAGAAAAATCTCTACCTGTTTGAAATACTATGTAATAATCACATTTCTGAGTTTATTATTTTAAAAGGCAACTACTTTTTTTTCTGAATGACCACAACATGACCAAGGGTTTAAGTTACAAGAATTAAGTAACCAGTGATATGTTCCTCACTATGTCATATTCCCTACTCAAGAATTGCTCTAAGGTTAGCAATTACTGACTTCATTAACTATGAGATATCTTTTTCTGTCACGTTTCACTGGTAACAGAACTATATGGCTGAACAGTTTTAAGATGTGCTGCTGGAAAAATTCCTAGCTTTCTTTCACAGAAGTCCATGCTAGTCATTAGCCACAAAAGGAGTACATTCAAGGCGCAGCCACATTTTCTACTAAGAATTTGAAAAAGTGTTCCTACTTAACCACAAAAACTGTGTCTGTAAAATATATTGGTTCTAAATACAGCTATTAGGACAATGTACTTACTGAGACTACTCAGCTGTCTGATTATATTTGCCAAGGAGATATTGGTGACACATTCCAGTTCATTCTTGATACCTCGGGGCAGAGCTGTGTGGCACAGGTGCCTGGGGTCTATGTTCCTTTTTACCAGCGGCATTCTGAAATGTGTCAGAGGACCAGCAAACCTGTAAAGGAGACAAAATGCTGCTATAAGTTTAATTCTATTTTAAATTCAGATTATGTCTAAAGTTAAATTGACTAATCCTAACAAGATAAAAATACCTCCATAGTACTGATGGAATTCATTGCTCTGTGAGTACATAAATCTTTTCTTCTTTGCCCAATGAAAGACTATTTCATTCTCTTTCTTTAAACCTTTACCTGTCTCAGATGCCAGTGAAGTGACAAATAATTTTTTACAGTTCATGCTTTTTTCTTTTTCCCCCTGAAAAAAAAGACAGGAAAATCTTTGCGGTACAAAAACATTAGAGAATGTTTTCCTTCTTTATGGACTACTTCCTTATTCAGGCCAGGCAAAGTCCAACAACAAATTCCCTTTATTATGAGGTCAAGGTCAAACCAGTTGCTTATTCCACCTGAAAGGTAGATATGATCCATTCATTATGTAATGTCACGCTACTAGCAGGAGTCACCCTTCTAGTCTAAACATTGCTTCTAAATTATACCGAATCAAGGTAAGAAAAGAGAAGATGTTTCCATTCCACCTACACTGCTACTGGCAATAAATTCAGCTAAGAACACATCTTCCAAATACAAAAGTCTCTTCAGTAAACTTCTAGTGCAAAGTCCTCCACGACTCAGAAATCCTACCCCTCCACACCTTTCCAAATCCACATATGTTAAATTAATCAAGAGTCTTTACTAGTTCTGCAGACAGCATAAGAATCATCTCAGGCTGTGAATTCCAGGCTTGTAATTTTCTGCACACACGGCACTGATTGGAAGGAGTTTCCCAGGGGGCAAGTTATGCCTCTCATCTTCTTAGTGCTGCTTATTAAGATCTGTCTACTAAAACTTTTCTTCATGAAAAATGGATTCCTTAAAATTCTGTAATTCTTCCATCATCTGTCATGTAAAACTCTGACTGACCAATGCAAACCTCCCATTTGATACGCAGAGAATGGATACGCTTGGTATTGGTATAACTTAGTCTCACATCCCATTGCAGAAGAGATTACACTTTCTCCAGACAGCAAGGCAGACAAGTTTTCCACAAACCAACCTGCAGTCCTAGTCCCTCAACCAGAGAGCTTGCCACAACTTCACCTGTCCTCTGCTTAGAAGCTTTATCCCAAAATGTTCCCAGGATGCAGCTAGGGCTTCGTGTTGTGCCACAGAATGCATCTTCCCTACAGTATGTATTTAGCCACGGTTATCTTTACTTGGTCAAAACGGAGAGATTTTTTGGATAAGAATAACATAAGACCATGACAATAGTGCTGAAATTTTGCTGACCTAGAATAGCATAGGGAATTAAAAGAGTCAAAGACGACTGTAATGGAGTATTTTCCTCTCACAGACTGCTTAAATTTCTCCTTGCCACTTTTCCTGGGAGTATATTCTTTCACTGAAGCCAGAGCTCATAGCTGAGGGACCCAGGCAGGATCCTGAAGTCTACCTGAGAAACACCTCTGTTTCCAGGATCTGATTAGACTTCATTTGTTGCATTTTAACACCATGTCTCCTGCCCTTATTTTCTTGAGAGAACAATGAAAAATATTTTATGCTTTTGAGGGATAAAAACCAATGAAAATAATTATTCTAGTAACTGGCTTAAGGGAAAGATTATACAGATCCTAAAAGTTTGTAACTTAGTTTCCCAATATTAACAGTAAAAATTATGGAAGTGTGCATGGGGCAGGAGTAAATTATAAGAACAGATTTTTATTTTTATTGTATAGGAATATCCCAAATCTTTCTAGTCCCTCAATACCCAAGTACTAAAAAGCTAGCTGCTGCATACAAGCTAAACGAAATTAAAAGTGCAAATCTGAACACTGTCTCAGATAGAAGCAATGACAAAGTGTTTATAATTAAAGTGAGACTTTATACCTGCTGGTACAAGACATAGGTGTAGCATGAAGCAAGGGAGATCAAACAGGCCCCACCAGCAGAGCTTCTGCTGTCTTAGGAGCGTGCAACCCCTCTCCCCCCAGTGACAGGACCCTGAAGAAACCCTTAACTACAGATTTGTTATCACGGTTCCCCAACAGAAAATAAAGGAACCATTCTGTCACTGTCAAAGAAACACAACAAATGATATGTGAGCAATGTTCTACAGAAGCAATTAAATATTAATTCCAGAGTTAAGCCCTTTCTTGATTACTGCTTTAATGATACTGTTGTATAAACAGCACAGTAGGCAAGTCTTTTAAAAAGAGGTCCAAACAAATATGTAAAGAAACTTTTTTACAGACAAATTAAAAATCTAAATATAAAAGAAACTTAAATAGTCTTTATTTCTATCTATCTAATATAGATCTGGGTTGTAAAGGTAAAAATATCTGTAGATACCAAGCATAAAAGCAGTTGATGGCTAGTGCATTTTTTCTTTTGTTTTATCTTACTATAATCAAGATGTTAGTTAAGTGATGATATTGCTCTCCCTCTTTGATTTTATATCATTCATGAAAAAACTTGTCCAATTTATAGCACGTACAGCTAATAAAGCTTCAGATACCCAAGTGACAGATACTTTAGAAAACTGTGCGTAATAGCAATAAAAAAAAAAAATCTTGAAAGTAATTCCAGATATTAGCTAGATTTTAAGTAACAGCATTTGAGTGTGTACTGCCCTTTACCAGTCTGATTTGTCTCTAGAACACTTAACAAAATAGCTGAAAAGATGCAGTATTGGCCCAAATATTTTCTCCAACAGGCATGTAAAGATGCTGCACAAGCAGAGATTAAGCCAGAACTCCCTGGACCTCAAAATGTAAAACTCAGAACCTGAATAAAAGTCCATTTAAGACAATGGAAATTTTCTTGCTTTGACCTCTCCAGAATTTGCAGAAAATCTACTCTTCGACATTTTTTTCTCTCCAAAACTCCACAAATACCATTTTCTAGTATCTGAATAATGCAGTTGTGCCTGTCCTTACCCAAAGATATAGTGTAACAAAAAAGGTAGCAGAGGGAACAGTAAGTATGGTAAAAGGTATAGTTTTAAAACAAGAATAAACTCAGAAGGGAAACAAACAACAGAAGATCTAACTGACACCTTCCAAATTATGCATCATGTTTGAAAACTATGCAAAGCCTGAACAGAGAGTATTTCCCAGTTTCCCACAGAAACAAGAACAAGTAGGCAACAAAGGAAAATAATACTCAAACATGCTTAAAACAAAGGCAGAGGCACTTCACACAATGTTTAATAAATTGTGGAACTCATTGCCACAGGATGCCGTATACAACAAAAGTACCTTCCGGTAATTTGTCCACTACGGACCACATATTCTTTGCAGTTTGTTGCAACCACTAGAAGGTCTTGATGATTCTTCCTCAATCGTATTTAGTGATCCCAGCACGGGAGCAACAGGTGCGCAACAGCAAACAGAACTTTACTGTACCCAAACAATTTCTTCGCTCCTATAAAAGATGTCTTTCCTAACGCAGTTCTTAACAGAAACCTGAAAAATTCTGAAATCACTATATTTACTGTGCAGCTTTAGAGCTGTGAAAGAGGAAAAAACAAAAAAAGGCATTGTTACAATCTAGTACAGCCTTTAGGTTATAAGCAAAAAAATACACACACATCCCCACATACCCTGCTCCCAAACCATACGTTACCCAAGCCACTCAGGCAGCAAAGGAAAAATTCATTCCAGGATCATAAAATCCTGTTACCATGTTGCTCCCAAGCAAGCCCTGGAAATTGTTCATAACCCCAGCCAGGCAGAAGGGAGAAGCAGCTTGTCAGTGCCTAAGAGATCCCTAGGCTGGCAGGTTACATGACACCTCCTTAGAGACTTACAGTTCTCCTGTCGCACAGGTCTCAGAGCTCTCCCTCCCCTCAGCCCCACTGCTCCCCAGCTGAAAACGCAGGGAAGGGAAGGCAATCCTCAAACATGAGTATCTCCTCTTCCCTACTGCCCCATACAAATCTTTGAGGTAATTCTTAAGAAGCAGCGCTAGTTTACACTCGAGTTAAATGGAAGTGCTTTACTCTATAGTGATCTTAAACTGAAACTCCTCTTTACAAGGAGATGCGATCTGATCTCTTTGGCAGAGCCGCTATTGACAACTCTTCTCCCTCACTTCCTATGCATCCTTTGAAGCACTCTGAATCCACTCGAGAAGCCAACTCTAATCTTTACAAACCCCTCTGCTACTTCAGTTGCACAATGACTGGCACAACCTCATCGCCCACACATACGCCGCGAGTACGAGTACAGAATACAAATGTGTGTACATAATGACCGTCTAATGTTTTTTATTAATCTATCATGCTTTGATACATGATTTTTTAGGAATTAGGTAACATGCTCCAGTTGCTTTTTCAATTAATTCCTATTACTTAAAAAACTGCAGAACAATGGCACTAATGAAAGTTCATTAATATCTTTTTAAAAGAACAGCTTTAATAGGATTTGACCACACTTCTTTTCAAAAGGCAAGTCCTTTAGTGTGCTGCGCAGCCCTCTTCAGTTATTAGGGGCCTTACGGGTCACGCTTTTCTATCTCTGTCTCGTACTTCTCAAACACTGCTGGCAGCAACTGAGAAACCTGCTTGTGCCTGCACTGCAGGAGCAGCGCTGCTTCCACGGCTCCGACCACGATGGTTTCACCCGGCTGCTGGCGCCCAGAGAAGGCTCTGGGGAGCACTGCTGTAGGAAACAGCTAACGTTTTCCCTTCGATATGCTCCTAGAGAAATATTTCAGAATCGCAAGATGTGTGGAGAAATGTTACATTACTAGAAGCTTGTGAAAAATTTGAAATGTCAGTTGTCATAGTAATGATTCAGGTTTTCTAGCAAGTACAGTAAAACAAGTAGGAATGAAAGCACAACATTAAGGTGGGAAAAACTAACTAACCTGCCCAACAGTTTAACTGCTAATTAAACTATACTTCAGTTTTACTTTCAGAAGACTAATGAAATTTCACGATCGCCTATCTTTTTTAATGAAAGTTTACTTCTGATTAGGTTACATTTCGTCC